TTTTAAAAAATTAATTTTGTATAGAAAAAATTTTTCTGCAAAATTAGATGTTTTACAGCTCTAAGAGAATCGTGATAACTTATTTATAGCAATTCTCCCGGATCCCCCAACACCAGTTAAAAACTGGTGCATGCCTAGTTGTAGATTGCCTTTATATCTCCGGAACTTGGCTAACTAAAAACAGTCAGATGACAGCTCGTTATACAGGCAATTAAGCTCTTGTATATTCATTGCTATTGAAGTTTTCCTCTTCTCTGAGCTTCTGGCACTTCTTGTTCATCATACTCTCTACTCTGTCACAACTCTACTTTTACCAGAACCTTCAATTGTTATCACAATATGCGTAGCTCTTGTTTTTCTCTATCGCCGATAATAATGGAGCTTGTCTCTCTTTCGGTGGGTAGAGATAGTATAAAATTGCTGATTTCTTACTTTTTCAAATAAATAGCTTATATCAACTCCCTACTGTAAAAATGCGTAAAGTTTAAGATCAAAAACATGCATAATTTCACGGTTTCTAGAAGTCAAATGCTGAAAAGTTTTCGCAAAAAGAGTAGCTTGGTCGGATTAGAAGACCATGGTTTCTAATATGGATTTAACAGAATTGTCTCATAGGTCCTAAAACAGGATAGCCTTCTATTCTGGGAGAGGGTTATTTTCTTTTTGACTTACTATCATCTATGGAACAGACATTGAATAGTGGATTTTGTCTCGTTTGATAATCACTTATATCTTCTTCTCCTCTTTGAATTATACACCGATACATCTCATTCCACTGTATACCATCATGTTCACTATAATTTTGTCTTATTGATTGTAATTTTTTTAAAGTTATTAAATTTAAATAATTTTGTATCTTTTTAATTGAAACAATTGATTGTTCTTGTAAATGATTTAGTTTTAACAAATATTTTACCAAATATTTACTTGTTATACCATTGATACACAGTGTGAGTAAAACAATAATCGATACATGAAATAAAATTTTCTGACAATAACTATCATCTGTATTCTCCAAATAGACCAATAAAACACCAATTAATGATATAATGCCTCGTAGACCAGACCAGACTAACATAAAATATTCATTTAATGTTAACTTGACACCACTTAAACGTATTAATGGATATAGAATAACAATAGTTATTAAACGTATAAATTGTATAATAAGATATAATAGTATAGAATAACCAAAGTCAATCGATGTTATTTGTGATACGGTTGAATAAAAAAACGTTTTAGCTAAAATAAATCCAATTATTGTAAATACACATATATTTATAAAATAAACAATTAATTTCCATATTGATTGTAATTGTTGTTGTAAATTATAACTAATAGAATATTTATGTTTCGATAAATAAATACCAAATACACAAATAGTAAGAATTCCAGATAAACCTAATTTAGTATCCCCAACATAGAAGATGATGTACGTTAAAGCAAATGTTAAACTAATTTCGATTTCTAATTGATTCCCAATATGATTTAAACACCATACAGTTGCAATACCTGAACATATACCAAATAATGGGCTACCTATAATAAATGTATTGATGAACGTGGTTAATGAAAGAAAAAAATTCATTTTAATGCATAAAAATCTAAAATTAATCAGTTTATTAGTTCAAGTATTTGAGATTTTACTAATGAGACGATGATGGCGTTATTGTTTTGATTTGAATTTTTTAAATAAAAATTCGAGAATAGGTTTTAGAGTGAGAATGCACGGGATTGACATAAAATCTTTTGTGTTCCACACGAGTTGGATCACGAACTTCGAGTCTGGTTGAGCGCGATTACAAAATGAAGGAAATTCGCTATTTTTTTCTCAAGAATTTTTCACTTTCTTCATGCGTCGTATCTATAGAACTCAGAAATAAAAATCGGCTGCGTATTCGAAATTTTATGTTCTAACATAAAATTTCCTCACAATAACAGTCAGTTTTATCAAAATTATAAAATTAATACGTCGACATGAAACTTTTTGGTAATAATTTACTATCAACAAAAATTCAGCATAAACCCAAAATTGTCTTACTTATACTAAGGCAAAATTGCAAGGCGCTTCTTTTGGCGCAAAAATAAATAGGTTATCTCTCACCTGTAAGGCTCCATCTTCTTTATAAGATGAAGGGGTCGAGCCTGGAGCGACCTGAGTTTTTAAATTTTGTAAAACTTCAAATCTCGATCAAAGTTTTTGAAAGACAGTTTTTTAGACTCATTTTTTGATGAGAAGTTCGGAAAAAATAGTTTCAAAGAGTTTTAATACGAAGGGAAAAAAGTAGAGCGAAATTTTTGAAAATTAGCGGTTTTTTAGGTTTTCTGGTCCTTGCCAGTATTTCGAAGTTTTCTCCCTCAAAACTTGCTTAAATCAAGCTAAAAAGATGATATTTGGAATCACCATGAAATTCTCTATCCGAATATGTGTAATAAACTCGAAAATAAAATCTTACTCACTCTTTGAATTAGCGGCACCTTACATACCTATTGTTGTTTTAACAATCTCTATACAAATATCTTTAACATTCACTTGTTGTTGTTGTTGAACGGTTAATAAACGTGAAAATATTGAAAATATAATAAATGCTACACCATCATTTAAAAATGATTCCGAATCAATTAATTGTGTTAATAAATGATTACAACCATTATCATGTAAGAGAGCAACAACTGCGACAGGATCTGTAGCACTTAATATTGAACCAAATAGAATAGATTGAATCCATGACCATTTGTAAGGTAAAGCATAACGGCTGAAAATTCCAATTAAAACAGTTTGTATAGCAACACCTAGAAAAACAAAATTGTGTAAATTATAGTTTATAGATATAGTAGCGTAGCCAACAGATAGGCTGGGGTGGATTCAGCCTAATCATTAAATATTTTTCGATAAAATTTATCACGACGAAGTATCTTCGGTTTAAAGTAGAAATCCATAATCTCTATTATCAATCAGTATTATATCTTTAAATATCTCTCTCAGACACCATTTCAAAATTATATTATGCGCTCGCAGTGTATCAGAAACATGTCTTTCTCTCCCTCGCAGCATGACTACATGATACTTATATAAGGGATCCTACAAGCATCGCGAACAGTGATCAAAATAGGATTTTCTAAATTTTCTGTTTCCACCAAAAACCGAGAGTTTTAGAAATATTATTGGTTTTCTCAGATTGTTGTACATCGCTTTTATATTCCATCGCACTTGTTTTAGTAAAAGGCTACCATGTTTTGTTCACATTGTGTCAAAAACATATTTTATATAAATAATTTACCAACGTCTTCGTTTTCTATGCTTCCCCTCCCTCAGTCTTAGAAGACCACCTGATATCCTATTTTGTTCGGCAAGTCAAATTCTCCAGGGTGATCTTCTATTGCGATAATATTTTTTCACCTAGTAGTATCAGCTAGTAATGTCAGAAAGTGTTTTGATGTCAAAATTTTACTAATCTTTTCGTTTTTTCGTTGCCTTGAAGAAAAATAAGGCGCCGGAAATTCAAAACTTAAGCAAAATTTATTTTTTCGATTTTTATACAAGGTTCGATAGAGCTCGTCGAGCTGAGGAAGAATATGTGTATTTTAGAGTTCAGAACTTTTCTCGTTCGGGTGTTTCCTACCTATAGATCCAAATTTTCATTGAACTTGACTAGGCCTGTGACAGTTCACAGTTCCTCGTACTGCAATTTCTCGATGACGCAAACTGTTTTTCAGTTTCCGTTCTGAACTAGAAACGGTTAAGCAGTTCTGGTTTCGAGAACGGGAACTATAGTTCTTTTTGAACTGGAAACTGCTCAGTGTCTTTTTGTGATTTGTTGATATATTATGTATTTCATTTCGCAAACATAAGATTTTGAACGAGTGAGCATTGGAATGAGATATGCTCAACGAGACTCTCAGATTAGGTGGTAGGCTTTGCTGATTGGATTTAGTTCGTTACTTCTTAAGATCTTGATATACTACCTAAGTTCAAGAACGCATGTTGGAGAAGTTCAGCTCCTGATGTGATGTAGTAGTTTTTGTCTGCTACCAGTGCGTGGCATTTTTCATATTTTCTCTCTAACTATTTTACTTAGTATTCAAATCTTAGAACGAATCAATGAAGTAAAGTCAATGGCATTGTCAACTCTTTCTTCATCCTCTAATGAACACAAAGCACCAATTAGTCACACTTCCAAATTCGGATCAGATTTGAAAAAATGTGGCAAGTTTTTAACACCGACAAGAAAGGCAACACGACCTTCCCTTTTAACAAGCACGATTATTAAACAAGAAATTTCTCTGTACTTGATAATATCTAAAATAAATTATGACTTATTGTTATTTTGATTAGAATATGGTCGCGAGCTACCATTATTACCAACCTTGGTTAAAAAGTATCTAGCAATACCAGCTACAAGTGTAGCTAGCGAAGTACATTCGCAAGCTAATAATTTTATAAGGAAAAAGAAGCTCAAATATTTCATACGGTTTCCAGTTCAAAATCTTATGTTTGCGAAATGAAATACATAATAATCAACAAATCACAAAAGGACACTGAGCAGTTTCCAGTTCAAAAAGAACTGTAGTTCCCGTTCGCGAAACCAGAACTGATGAACCGTTCCTCGTTTCTAGAAACGTGAACTGCTGAACCGTTCCTAGTTCAGAACGGAAACTGAAAACCGTTCTCATTTATTGAACGGGAACTGAAAAGCAGTTCCTGTTCTTTGAACGGGAACCGCCTACTGTCACAGGCGTAAATTTGACTCAAAACTGACCACTTTGTTCGAGAATGACTTGCCCAATTTTCGTCAAATTGCTAAGGTTTCACTAAAAGCGTAATACCTACAGTTTTAGCATTCATAGAGCGTGAGAATATACAGTTTCACCATGAATACGGCGAATTTCCTGAGATTTAAATATACGCCTTACTCAAAACCGCGTTTTTGCCATCAATATTCCGCAAGAAACGCGTTTATGTCCATCATAACTTTTTAAAAACACGTTTTCAGTCGCAGTAGACTTTAAGACTCGCGAGCAGCACCGAATTTTTCATGTTTAGGACCCAATTGAAACGAATTTAACGCAAATTTTCGGCGTGTGTCGCGTTTTGTGTTCTACACTTGTAGAAAGCTGCGTTTCGAGTTTGAATAACTTTAATTTCTCGCGTTTGTAAAAAGCAGATTTCTTTTTCTCCCTCACCGACTATTAAAACGCAATGCATTCGTTATGTTCTTGTAGGAATTACGATTCTCGTTTTCGAAGAAAGTACAATACACTGATTCTCGCGTTTGAATACATTCGTTTCTGTCGTTTTCTTGAGACGCGTCTCGCAACTATTGCGATTTATATATATTCTCAGCCAAAAATAGGTACTTATTTCGGTTCAGAAATATTTTCAAGAATTTCTGAGACTGTCGCTGGATTCCTAGCAAAAAATTGCTTCGGGAACACTTAGTCTTTAACTATATCAGATATACTATGGGCACTTTGGGTTTTTTTTGTATATCAATTTCGTTTAGTGCGACTATAACATCAATGCAACGCGAGGCTGGCTTAAGTACCGCGAAAAAAAGCGAGTTTAGCTTCAAAGTATCGCGCGAAACTCTGTTTTCGAAAAATTTAGCGCATTTAACGCAACCTATGATTACCTTAAACGCGATTCTCGCGCTTTTTTTTTAAACGAATTTCTCGCGGTAAAGTTTTTCGTAAACAGAGTTTCGCGCGATGTTTGAAGCTAATCTCGCGTTAAAACAAATTTTCAAACGGTATAGGTGACTGACTGGAATGATGCATTATAATTCATTATTCTTTTCGAATCCTAATGTATTAAAATGCACAAGTGTTGTCTCATTCAACGACCTTAACTAGCCTTACTAATATTCGGACTGTAATGCATTATGATCTCTGTGTAGTAGCGTAACTACAGGGGAGGACATTGGGCCATAGCTAGGCCTGCAAAAGTTCACGTTGAACGCCAAAGCACGTTCGCGTTCCTTGAAGGTAAACGTCAAAGCACTGATGAACATGAGTTTTTTTATATAAACGGTGTTCATATCGTCTGAAGTAAATGTAAACTTCTGTTCTTGTACTGTAGTAAGAGCATATATATTTCTGCTTGGTATTATCCAATCAATAGAAACTCTAGTGAAGGATCAGATGGTCTGCTTAGGGCAGTGACCAGATTATTGCAATGTAAAAAGGATACTGCTTGATTCTCTGATCACGATATTGATTCTTCCAGGAACAGATTGAGGATTTCCTGACCAGAAGGCTAGCTTTTCCGGCACTGGAAACGAAGTTTCTTGATCCAAACCATTATAGTAACTACATACGTTTTCCTTTGTTATAGTAACCCATCTGGGACAAACGAGCGTTGATTTTTCACTAAATATAACTGGTAATGGAGAAAGCTGTTTTACTTGGTACACTACTAGGTGAAATTGCTATATAACGTTTTGCAATACTATTTATTCTACACAAGATCAACACCGATCATACAAAATAAAGTTAACGTTCACGTTCAAGGAACGCCAACGTGCTTTAGCGTTACGTTCAAAGAGAACGCTAAACTTTTGCAGGCTTAGCCATAGCCCAATGCGATTTGAGCCTTGACCCAATAAAATTTTGAACTTTGTGATTTCCTCGACTAAAAATAGGTTCCTTGGTTCAGTCTTTTTTCGAATTAACCTAGTGTGGTATACTTATTTTTTTGGAACTAATGGAGTAGGCTCAATGGTAAAAAAATTCTAGTTACGTCGCTTGAAATACTAAATGTATTTTAAGGAATGATTTGAAAAGAAACTCGGGTTTTAGACACATTCTAACCATGGACACAGTGGAAGGCGTGTACGTTCTTCTTGCACTATACTAACTTGAAACGTCTTCCGTTAACTTTAATGTTTATTATAACCATGCTTCAACTCGATTACAATGTATTTCAAACACAGAGTTTGACTTACACTTATTTTCGATTTTTTGAATCTATGGTATTATTAGATTATATAATACAGATTTAATCTAAACATTTTTCTACTATCTATCCATTACAACCCAAAGTAATTTGTACAGTTGGTGATTAGGTCACGATATTTTGTGAACGGCCAGTTCTGTCTTTTTGATTGCTCCTGTGATTAATCACCAAATGCACAAGTTTGGTCAGTCCATCGATTACCCTTTTCTAAGTTTATACTGAAGTATTTGTTTATTTACTTTTTCTTCTAAAACTTGCCATGAATGATACAAGAAATACGCTCTTGTTTTAAAAAGTAGTAATAGGATTCATGGACAGCATCTGCAGACAAGCGCCTTTGTCCAGCTATAGTTGACCTCTTGTAATCAAAACTACACTACTGCATTCTGGAATTTTTCCCTTCAAGAAGTGTCGCTATCTTTGTGTTCTATTACAAACTTTACAAATAGAAACGCGCAAAACCGTGGTTATTCATGAAACAAGAACACTTATTTTCCTAGTAAGATGCCGGTAATTAAAAACTTCAGCAGAGTTTTATTTTTCGTTCAAGTTTTTATTTATGTAGACTACGGAGACCTCGTCAATGTCAGTATATATGGATTTTGTATTTACCTACCTGGTCCGGCTAAGAGTATTGACGCAATGAACTGTTGTTTATAAATAAAATATTGCCCACCGAATGAACTATCAAACATTAATATCGGTATAAATATCGAATAGATCATATGTGGATGAATGATATTCATTTGTTTTATACTTGATATAAATGAATTTGTTTGTGATATTTTTTCTATTAAAATTCCAATAAAAAATGCCATTAAGAGAATAATAATTGTAAACGGAATTGGACATTTCTTTTGTATTTTTGATAATATCCATTTAATTATACACGATTGAATTAATAGATATGATAAAAATAAAATA